TTCTTGATATATTTTATTATCAGCTCCGTAAATCACATAGCTAGTTCCAATACTTCTTATTGACAATTACGACAACTTTTCTTTTTAAAAAAAACACACACATTTTTTCTTTCGTTTCTTTTCTCTAAAACTCGTTTGCTGTTACAGGTATTAAATTTCAATTCAAATATTTGGGGGTGGGGGGTGGAAACCAAATATTTGGGGGGGGGCACTTGTGGGTGAGGGGAGAGCAGCCAAAATGTAGAATCATAGAATTGGCAGAGTTGGAAGGGACCCCAGGGGCCATCTAGCCTAACCCCCTTGCAGTAAAAGGATCACAGCTAAGACATCCCTGACAGAGAGCCACCCAACCTCTGCTTAAAAACCTCCAATGGAGTGGAGACCATGGCAGTGGGGTCCGCTTTTGAGTTCTCCAGAAATCTTCATGGGGGAAGATGTCACTCAAAGCAGGGGGGGAGCGTTTCACTTGAAAGGTATTTTAGAAGGATGGAAGTGGTGGGAGCAGTTTCTGCTGGTTTTTTTCCCCAAAGGAAAAGTTCCAAATCTGCAACACTGAGCACAGAGATTGTAAATCCAGAGCAAAGGTGTGGGATTTTTGTGTGTGTGAGGATGAAATCAGGCTACGAATTATGCCATCTGGGATCATGAATTGCTGGGAAGGAGTGTGTGTGTGTGTGTGTGTGTGTGTGTGTGTGTGAAGAGTCCATCTCAAAAGAGTAGGATTATATTTTATATATATGAAAGTGCGCCACATTTGGGAATGCACGTCACACTTCTCCTTTTGCCTCCCGCTTGCCCCCTTCCTCCAGGGCCTCTGCTTCCTGGTCTTCCTGCTGCTCACAGCTTCCATTTCCGCCTACATGGGTGCAGCCCTCCTGGAAGTGCTGGTGACACTGGCGTTCTTGGGACTGCGGGCGACGCACTACTACGAGCGCCTGACTCGCGTCAACTGGCCCTGCCTGGTGGGTAGCCATGCTTTCCCCATAATCTCCTTTTGCAGCGCTTGGTCGTGCTCCCCGTGGCCAATGTCTTGCCGAAAGAGGCATTGGAGTTGACTGAGCAACACCGAAGCATATTGACATGCCTTCCCCTGTGCCAGATTTCCTTCTCGTGCTGCAGTGGGACTGTAGCTTTGTCTGCCTTCCTGAAGAGGATTTTGCCATTTGCATGCTTTCTGGTACACTGGTACCTCAGGTTAAGTACTTAATTCGTTCCGGAGGTCCGTTCTTAACCTGAAACTGTTCTTAACCTGAAGCACCACTTTAGCTAGTGGGGCCTCCTGCTGCCGCTGCGCTGCCGCTGCACGATTTCTGTTCTCATCCTGAAGCAAAGTTCTTAACCCAAGGTACTATTTCTGGGATAGCAGAGTCTGTAACCTGAAGTGTCTGTAACCTGAGGTACCACTGTACTGGTTTCAACTGGTCTTCCCGCCCACAGCTCAGCCCTCGATGACCCTCCTCTCTCCTCCCGCCACAGGATTTCCTTCGCTGCATCAGCGCCGCAATAGTCTTCACGGTAGTGGCCTTTGCCGTCATTGCTGCCAGCCATGAGGGATCTGCGGTGTCTGCCTTTGTGAGTTATCAACCCTCTCCCTAGAAACTCCCCTTTTATGGCCACGCCCCTTATCAGAAGCCCCTCCCCAAGGGGCGTGGCATATAGACAGCCAACCCACTGCAAGGCAGGACTGTGGGTTCTGTCAGAGCCCTGGCTCAACCTAAGATATCCTTCCAAATGTGGGGTGCTTGAGGGATATCACCCCCCCAAAAAAATCCACGTTCCCCCAATCTGTTATCGTTCCCTCCCCTTCTACCTCCTGCCATTCACTCACAATTCTTGGTCCCTTCGCAGGTCTTCAGCCTGATTCTCATTGCCGTCTTCTGTTTCGACGCCTACAAAACTTACAGGGCAGAAATGGGGGCAGACCAGGGTGAGTGGCGGCGGGGAGAGGGTGCCGCCAAGGGGTGGGTGCAATGGTGGCATGGATGAAGTCTGGGGCAGAAAAACGGGGGCCTCCCTGCAGTAGTGAATGGAATGATCCTCAACGTGCCTGGCATTTTATACAAAATTTAAGACGGCAGGTCCCTGCCCCGCTGAGCCTACAGTCTGTTGGATTTTTAATGTTTTTGTACAAAGTTTTTTCTCCTTTATAAATTACGTTAATTTTTACTTATTATAATGTATCAGATCTACTAGTTGTGGTTCATTTTTTTGAATTGAAGGCTTGTGAAATAAAGAGCCTACAGTCTAAAGTTTGACACAGGGGAAACAGGGGAAAGGGAGGGAAGTGGAGCAGGTGGATCAATTGAGAGGCAGCATGTCAGGGGTCTCCAACAGTGTGCTCGTGGGCGCATTGGTGCTCTTGAGTTCTTTCCCTGGTGCTCACGACACCCCTGAGCCCTTCCTCGCTGCCCCCTTGCTCATGGTGGTGGTGGTTACCTAGGATTACATAGAGTTGAAGGAGGAAGTTGGAAGAGTGACGCTCTGTCCCATTTCCTCTTTCAGTTCTATGTGCTTTTAAGGCTCAGGTCAGTCCTGCCTGATGCAACATTTACCGTATATTTCGCTCTATAAGACGCACCAGACCACAAGACGCACCTAGTTTTTGGAGGAGGAAAGCAAGAAAAAAAATATTCTGAATCTCAGAAGCCAGAACAGCAAGAGGGATTGCTGCGCAGTGAAAGCAGCAATCCCTCTTTCTGTTCTGGCTTCTGGGATAGCTGCGCAGCCTGCATTCACTCCATAAGACGCACACACATTTCCCCTTACTTTTTAGGAGGGAAAAAGTGAGTCTTATAGAGCAAAAAATACGGTAGCTAGATCATTTGGAAAAGCAGAGTGTGCATGCCTGCGTTCTTTCTCTCTCTCTCTCTCTCTCTCTCTCTCTCTCTCTCTCTCTCTCTCTCTTGGCACCTGCACTGCAACAATTTTAGCTAAACTTCCACCATGTTGCCTCCTACTCTCCTTTTCTCAGAACTTAAAAAGCCCCCAGGTGCTTCACCCTTCCTTCACCAGGTTTACTCTGAGTAGGGCTAGCAGCATTGAGCTTTGGCCGAGGGAGGGACAGAGAGGAAAGGCAGATCCACAGATGACGAAGAAAACAATGTACAACTTGCCGTCCTCACGGCAGGGTTGACTCTCCTCTGACCCAGAGAGACAACTGACCTTGTGAACGCTCTTTCTCTCTTGTAGACCCAGATCTGGGCTGAGAGTCCCTGCGATCAACACACAGCTGCTGCTGCTGCTGCTGCTGCCCTACATCCCTCGCTCCCCTGCCCCACAGCCTTTCTGCAGCTTCCTTGACCCCTTCTTCCTCGGCTCTGAAGACGATGCTTCTGTCCTCTTCCCACCAGGGGCCAGTGGGGTGCTGCTCACTGCTTCTGTGGGAGCAAAGGCCCACCCCACAACAGACCCACTTTGCTGAATCCCACCCCCCATCAAACTGGAACGTGGATCCTGGGTGGCTGAGCTCCTGGGTGTTTCCCCCCCTTCCCTTTTGTATTTAACTTGATGAGGAGATGAAATTAAAAGGTGCTTTTAATATGGTACGCTGGCCTCTTATGTGCCCACACACGCACGAGTGGGGGATGCGCATGGGCGAGTGTGAGCGCATGAATGTACAACCGCTGCGCTCAGGTCCCGTTTGTGGGCTTCTGGTCGCTGCTGTGAGAACAGGATTTCGGGTTGGATGGGTTGCAGGCCCGATCCTGCAGCAGGACTCTTCTGATGCTCTTATGACTGCGCAAGGAGCACGTCCCACGAGTGTGGGGCTTTTGTCTCTGCTCGCAAGCGCCTGGATTTGCGGGTGGCACACAGGGAGGCTCGGAGATGTGCGGATCTGAGGAAGTGTGCCAAAAGTGTGAGCTGAGAAAGAGGCATGGAAGGAGGGTGACGGCTAGGAAAAAGTAAAACAGAATGTTGCAGAGGGGATAGTTTCTTGGTAGAGATGAAATGAGACAATGCGAAGGCAGGATAAAAAGGTGGACAGGTCCATGTACAATGGTATCTCGGGTTACGTTCCAGAGGTCTGTACTTAACCTGAAACTGTTCTTAACCTGAGACACCACTTTAGCTAATGGGGCCTCCCACTGCTGCTGTGCCACCGCCACGCGATTTCTGTTCTCATCCTGAAACAAAGTTCTTAACCTGAGGTACTATTTCTGGGTTAGCAGAGTCTGTAACCTGAAGCATCTGTAACCTGAGGTACCACTGTATTAAGTTGGAAACCATGTGCCTGTAAGAGGCCCCACATAATGTTCACACTCTAACTCATGGGTAGGCAAACTAAAGCCCAGGGGCCGGATCTAGCCCAATCACCTTCTCAATCCGGCCTGCAGACGGTCCAGGAATCAGCATGTTTTTACATGAATAGAATGTGTGCTTTTATTTAAAATGCATCTCTGGGTTATTTGTGGGGCATAGGAATTGGTTTGTTTTTGGGGTTTTTCAAAATATAGTCCGGCTCCCCACAAGGTCTGAGGGACAGTGGACCGGCCCCCTACTGAAAAAGTTTGCTGACCCCTACTCTAACTTCTGAGCGTGGGAGGAAGGGGGAAATCAGTCTCAGAGAAACCCTGGCAGGGACATCCCCTGTCAATGTTCAGTTTGACCACAAGAGGGAACAACTGACACCAGTAAGAGCCAGAGAAAGCTGTTGAGAAATCTTCAAGCTATCACAGTTGTTTGGAAAACCAGATTTTCACATTAATAGAATAATGAAAGTCTTCTTTAAACAGCAACATAAGAAGGAGAGAGAGAGAGAGAGAGAGAGAGAGAGAGAGAGAGAGAGAGGGGGGGCAGCTTTGTGTTAAGAGTTGTCCTCTTTTTTTTCCTGGGAAGGTTCTTGTGCTTTTTCAATAGCTCCATGGCAGGCAGGCATTCAACAGGTGATGTTAAAAATCTATTCATGTTTAATTTCTGCCTGTTGCCAGGCTGTCAGCGGCACAGCGCAGCAACCCTATTCTCTCTGTTCAGCTGAGCAGCACACGATGAGGACGGCAATGTCAGGATTAAATTTGCTGTTCAACTTTATTAATTGGATTATATTAATGCTACATCTTATTCAGTGAAAGGGGCTGGAGAAAAAGCCCTTCAGTTCAACCGAGGATCTGAAAACCTCCTTACTCTTCATCATGAAGTTTCTGGAAGAGAGAAGCACAGAAGGAAAGGATGAGGGGGGGGATTAAAAGGAGGAGAGTATGACAGTGGCATAGCGTGGGGGGTGCAGGGGGGGCCGGCCGCACTGGGCGCAACATCTGGGGGGGGGGCGCGGAAGAGACTCGAGTGCTAAAATCCACGGGTTAGGGGGCGCAAATTACTTGCCTTGCCCTGGGTGCTGACAACCCACGCTACACCACTGGAGTATGATGAGCACAGAAATAAAACAAGGGAGACACAAGCAGGATGCAACATTTAAAAGGGTAGGAGATGTGCTCTGAAATCACCTTTGTTGCCATGAAAACGTGCATATGTATTCCTGTCCTAGGGAAAAACCTCCTAAACAACTCTGGAACTTTTCATTGTATTGGAGAAAAGCTAGCTTTAAGCAGGGGGGTCTATTGGCTCATGCCAGTGCCGTCACCAACATACCAAAAACTACCTCAACATTTTGGAGCAGCTCTCCAATATGTTAACATTTTTGACTCAGAGAATGCCCGTTGAAATGAATTACCATGACTATTAATTTCAGTGGATCTACTCTGAGTAAAAGTTACTTTACCTTTGTGAATTTTGGGAGGGAGGGATGGGGGTGAATGTGTAGGGTGTGGAGCTTAAGTGCAAATGCGCAGCCTGATTCAGTAGAATGGAAAAGAAACGCCAAAGGCTTGTTCACACAATATGCTGAACCCAGGTACAAGCTGCCTCTACACATGCACAAGTGTTTGTGTGAAAGGGCCTACACTCATTGATTTGCACAGCTCCGTTGTTTGTGTACACAGATTGCGGCCTGGATGAATGGAATGTGTGAACAGGACAAAGGGCAAGTTGGGGTCTCTCCCCGGAGCCCCCCTGCCCCCCTCAGCCGGCCACGACACTCACCTTCCCTCCCACATCGCGGGTCTTGGCCTTCAGCTTGTTGACTTGGGACTCGGCGATGTCCGCCCGCTCCTCGGCCTCATCCAGCTCGTGCTGAACCTTCCGGAACTTGGCCAGGTTGCTGTTGGCCTGTTCCTCCTGCGGGTGGGGCAGGGGGTGGAGGGGAAGAGAAGGTGGGAAAGCTCAGAAAAGGGCAGGCAGAATGATCCAGACTGTTATGTACTGAAGTTCTCACCCTGGGCCAGCAGGGGGGTACTGTAGATAGTTATGCAAATAAGGGATCGAAAGTGACGTTCAGTGATTGGATAGCTTTAGAAAGTTGTTACAGTTGCATTGTAGTGGAGCTCTATATAAGCAGGCTGACTGAACCCTTCAGTTCAGTTCAGTTCAGGCCTCTGAATAAACAAGAGCTGTTTGAAGAATCGCTGTGTCGTCTGATATGTTCTCCCACAACTTAACACAGACTCCTCGATAAGGGAAGGTTGCAGTGGCTTTGGGAAGGCAGCACGAGGGCTGGGTGTCAGCTGTGCCAAAAAAAAGGCTTCGAGGGCCACATGCAGCCCTCGGGCCACACTTTGGAGAAAGCACATTGGGAAGAGCTGACATAGAAGTTTATGAAATTTTGCCTGGCAAAGAGAAAGGGTAGGCAGTGATGGCCGCCGGCTTCGATGGCTTTGAAAGAGGATTAGGCAAATTGAAGGAGGGAAGGGCAATAAAGTCATAGGCAGTAATGCTTCTGAGTGCCAGTTGCGGATCCAGTAGGATCCAGCAGGATCTCCTTATGTTCTTAAGGACACCACGGTGGGTGGTGTTCATCAAACCTGCGTGACCCACTGCAAGGATTGAGGAGGAGAACGGAAGGTATTTACTGATCCACTTGTAAGAGAGATGGAACTGGGGAAAAAGCATGTGGTTACTGCATTTTTCACTCCATAAGACGCACCTGACCATAAGATGCACCTAGTTTTTAGAGGGGGAACGCAAGAAGAAAAATATTCTGCGCAGAGCATGCAAGCAGCTCTCGCTTTTCTTGCTTTAAACCCTTCCGTCCCTCCTCCCGCTTCGCTGAGAAGCCAGCAGAGCAAGAGCGATAGCTGCACAGCGCCTCTTCTTCTGCTGGCTTCCCAGCAAAGCGGGATGAGAGACGAAAGGGAGCCCTTACAAGGGAGTGCTGAGCAGAGCCTGGCAGTGGCGCTTGCTGGCTTTTCCGGGAGGTGTGGGAAGGGACAGAGGGCAGCCCATCAGTCCCTTCTCCCATCTCGCGGAAAAGCCCCCAAGAGCTGCACACATGCTCTGCTCGGCTCTTTAACGGGAGCGCTGAGCAGAGCCTCCCGCCTGCATTCGCTCCATAAGACGCACACACATTTCCCCTTACTTTTTAGGAGCGAAAAAGTGCGTCTTATGGAGCGAAAAATATGGTAATTTACCAGACTGTTTGAGATTTCCAGATTAACCACGTGCGTCCTTTACCTCCGCCGAAATACTGCAACCTGCATCATTTCATCACCTTCCACCCAACCTGAGCTGTAGAACCTGATCATGAAAAGCCAGCTAAGGTCTTGCAAAGTTTGTTCAGAAGACTTCAAATGAGAGCCACTAGTTGCTCAGGTTTAGGGAAGTTTTATCCTGCAAAGGAGCTCAAGCACCATAAGGCCTGCTGTTATACAGTCTAGCAAACTGTATCTCGCAAAGCATCATGCAACCTTAGTTCAATCTAAGCATCCTGGCAGCTCAGGTTTAGCAAAGCTTTTCTTGATTTGCCAAGGAGTAGGCGCTGTGGGACCCCTGACCATTAGGTCCAGTCGTGACCGACTCTGGAGTTGCGGCCCTCATCTCGCTTTATTGGCCGAGGGAGCCGGCGTACAACTTCCGGGTCATGTGGCCAGCATGACTAAGCCGCTTCTGGCGAACCAGAGCAGCGCACGGAAACGCTGTTTACCTTCCCGCTGGAGTGGTACCTATTTATCTACTTGCACTTTGACGTGCTTTGGAAGTCCTAGGTTGGCAGGAGCAGGGACCGAGCAACGGGAGCTCACCCCGTTGCGGGGATTCGAACTGCCGACCTTCTGATTGGCAAGTCCTAGGCTCTGTGGTTTAACCCACAGCGCCACCCGCATCCCAGGTGCTGTGGAAGGTGCTGTAATTTGACCTAGTGGCTTCTGGGTCTCTGCAGCCATTGTTTTTGACAAGGCTGGCTGATAACTGTGGAGAGAAGCCAGGAACTCACCGCTTCCTCTGCCTGTCTCTTGTAGGCTTTGACCTTCAACTGCAACTTGTCCACCAGATCCTGGAGCCTCAGCAAGTTCTTCTTGTCCTCCTCAGTCTGCAGATGAGGAGAAATGGGAAGGAAAATGGGGGAGAAACTGTCACTTGGCACCCACAACTGTTTCTCCATAAATTGGTTCGCTTGCAACACCAAACCATGGTTTAAACAAACGCCATCTGACAAACCATAGTTTGCAAGTAGCCACTAAACCAGGATCCGAAATCAAGTTTTGAAGCTGGTTTGCAAACCGCACTTTGGGCAGGCTGTGTCTTGGGATTACATCTGAGTTTACAAAATGAGATTTGGAATAGTACTCCTCCTGCCCTTGGAAGCCACTGTTTTGGGTAGGGTAAGGGGATTCTCAGAGAAAAAAGAAACTGTACAAACAGTCATTTTGCCTGTAAACCTAGAATGCAGGTTTGGAGTATAAATGATGGCATAAATCACAGTTTGGAGTTACATCTGAACCAACCCTATGTGTAACTTTCTATAGGTAAAATCAGTGCTTTTTCCCCCCCAAAAAATGTTTAGGGGTACTCTCATTTTGACTCAAGAAAATCACCATTTTATAGTTCAAATCGGGGGAAATCAATACAGTAAATGGACAAAAGTACAAAGATTCACAAAATGTTTAGGGGTATGTGTATCCCTGCATCCCCCCCCAGAAAAAAACACTGGGTAAAATCATCTTTGGTGTGAATACATTTCCAGTGAACCTCCAGCCTGACTCAGATGTGCTTGCACTTTGCACAGTCTCCTGATCAGAATTTCCCTTGACTTTCCAAACTATGGAAATCAGTTAATTTAGGAATTTAAAAACAATCAAAACTGCAAAATGGGATCAAATGTCACCAGTGAATACTTTGTGTTATGGTTCTAACATTCATCCACCAGCCTTAAGATTTGCTTTCTTTTAAAAGTATCCATGGGATTTAAAAAAAGAAACAACAGCAGTGTTTCTTCTTAAATAAAGAAATTTGGCCAAATTTTGAATTTCTGCAAAACTTCATTTGTATACTGCTTTCTGTTTACAACAAAAACACCAAAGCAGTAGTCCTAAAACCACAATAAAAGTACTAGGAAATAAAGCAATGGTAAATGTGAATTTATATTGTCTCTAACAATGTAAATGCAACAGATAAATGAAACCTGGCCAGAACCAGCCTGCCGATCCTCTACCACAAGGGGGAGGATCCAGATGTGGCCCCCAGAACTCTCTATCTGACCCTTGAGACTCTTCCTTAGCTATGTCCCTCTCTAAGCCACACCCCTTGAGGGCTTTGGCCTGGCTGAGATGTCTCCTTGATCTCTAATAATGCTTCTTGTTTTTCTGGAGGAAGAGAGGGCACAGAGATGCATGTGTAGAAACCTCTGACTTTTGCAATGTAACCTCTAGTGCAGGGGTAGGGAACCTAAGGCCCGTGGGCCGGATGCGGCCCAATCGCCTTCTCCAGGAATCAGTGTGTTTTTACATGAGTAGAATGTGTGCTTGTGTTTAAAATGCATCTCTGGGTTATTTGTGGGGCACAGGAATTCGTTCATATTTTCTTTCAAAATATAGTCTGGCCCCCCACAAGGTCTGAGGGACGGTGGACTGGTCCACGGCTGAAAAAGGTTGCTGATCCCTGCTCTAGTGCAAAAGGTGAGAGTTCCGTCCGCTGCCCCTGCCCACCCCTGGCCGGTGACCCCCCCCCCAAAAATGTTCCTTATAATGGAATACAGCCCTCCAGCTGAGAAAGGTTCCCGGTTCTGATCTATGCCTCTCCTGTGAACATTGTATTTTCCACACTGGTCTCTTCTATGCTCAGAGAAGATACGATGCACCTTGATCGCCATATACTTGGTTTTGCCGCATAGCCTCGCAGCGTCCCCAGCTCATCCAGACGGATGCCACCTGAGCCCCCGCACCTGGTAGGTGAGCTCCTTGATGCGCCTCTCGCACTTGCGCATGCCCTTGACGGTCTCGCCGTTGCGCTTCTGCTCCAGCTCCAGCTCGTTCTCCAGCTCCCGCACTCGGGCCTCCAACTTCTGCAGCTGCTTCTTGCCGCCCTTCAGGGCCAGCTGCTCCGCCTCGTCCAGCCGCAGCTGCAGGTCCTTGATGGTCTGCTCCATGTTCTTCTTCATCCTCTCCAGGTGAGCGCTGGTGTCCTGCTCCTTCTTCAGCTCCTCCGCCATCATGGCCGCCTGGAGGAAGCAGAGAGAACGCAGAGAATTACCTCAGTCTGGCAAACCCAACGCAGGCCTTAAAAATCCTGAGGGGAGGAGAGGTGAAGGGCCAGGAGCCCATACTCTAAACAGGCGCCGCTACACCGAACTCCTGACCCTTCAGCCTTCAGGTGTTGGCGGTCCTTTGCTGAGACAACATCATCTTTCATGGCTCAGCCAACAGGGCCCACTGGGAGCTGTCTGTGGTCCTGAACTTGATTGGGCTTGTGCAAATACCAGCAGAACAAGATAGATGGCTAGAGGGTCAATACTTGCGAGGACAGACAATTGGTGAAAGGGAAGGGGCAGAACCAAACTTTAGGGTCGCCGGTTGTGGACCCCACCTTTCCATGATCTGATTTGTACTCACATCAGTGATGGCCTTCTTGGCCTTCTCCTCAGCGTTCCTGCACTCCTGAATGGCCTCCTCCACCTCTGACTGAAGCTGGGACAGGTCAGTCTCCATCTTCTTCTTCTGGTTGATGAGGCTGGTGTTCTGAGGGGAGATGGGCGAGTCAGAATGAGAGAAGGTGGAGTAGCGTCATGGAATGTATTAGGCCAAATGTCCACCTGGTCCATCATTCTGTTCTCATAGCGGCTGACCAGATGCCCATTATAAGAAGCCAGCAAGCAGGACATTAGCTCAACCTACTGGTGATTCCTAAAAATGGGCAGATTCAGAGGCACACCACCTCCGACAGTGGCTAGTAGTCATTCCTGGTCAATTCAGCTCAGATCCCATTACTTGGGTATGTGAAATTGGGAGTCAGGAGCTGCCCCTCATTGTGAGAAGCTTCATCAGTCCCACAAACCAACTGGAAGGTGATCTGGGTGGAGTGGAAGGGAAGAGGCAATGACAAGGAAGGCACAGAGGAGCAGACCCAGCGGGAGGACAAAGTGTCAGCTGGCTGAGCTTCAGTAGCAGGCTGCAAGCTAGAGGAAGATGAGGATGAAGGGGCAGGAGAAGATGCTATCACTGGAAGCTGGCTAAATTGAGGGGTGAAAGATGGAGGCAATGAAGGAGATGAGAAGATGGGAGAGAGAGTGACAGGCAGGAATGGAGTTGGCCAGCGGAAGGGTGAGAGAAGGACTGGGGCAGGGAACCCCAATGGGGAGTCAAAGAGGAGGAGATGGAAGAGTGGGGATAGGCAGGGACTCTACACTCCAGAAAATATTGTCTCAGTTCAAGCAGAGGAATTCTGTTGTCCAGAACATGAACCAAGGACAGGCTCTCACGATGACAAGAGCACCCAAGTTCACAAGACTGTGGGACTCGCCTGGCCTTTGAAAGTAACAGCACCCTGTCGTTCTGCAAAGGGAAGGTATCAGCCCCCTCAAATTAGTGCTTGTTTGTTTGTTTTCACATATGAAATCAGGGTCCTCCCCTCTTCACCTGGGAGTGGAGGAGCTGGACCCGCTCGCTGGCCTCGATCAACTCCTGCTCGGCGAGTTTCCGGCCGCGCTCCGTTTGCTCCACCACGCTGCGCAGCTCCTCCAGCTCCGCCTGCAGCAGGGAGTTCCGCCTCTCTACTATGGCAATGTTCTCCTTCAGGTCTTCGTTGGCTCGCAGGGCGTCATCCAGTTGGATCTGGTTGTCCTGGGCAACCACACACACATACTTATATTGTTTCAAGCTGTAAGTACAATTACAATTCCCGAGCACAATTCAAAGCGTTGCTGCTGACCTTTAAAGCCCTAAACGGCCTCGGTCCTGTATACCTGAAGGAGCGTCTCCACCCCCATCGTTCTGCCTGGACACTGAGGTCCAGCGCTGAGGGCTTTCTGGCGGTTCCCTCATTGTGAGAAGTGAGGCTACAGGGAACCAGACAGAGGGCCTTCTCGGTAGTGGCGCCCGCCCTGTGGAACGCCCTCCCTTCAGATGTGGAATAAGCAGCTATCCTATCTTTAAAAGACATCTGAAGGCACCTGTTTAGGGAAGTTTTTAATATTTAATGCTGTACTGTTTTTAACACTTGATTGGGAGCCGCCCAGAGTGGCTGGGGGAACTCAGCCAGATGGGCGGGGTATAAATATTATTATTATTATTATTATTAAAGTAAGCCTCTTTCTTCCCATGGCAGGTATAAGCCTCCTCATAAATACCTCCCCGCCCTTTTGTGTGGGGCTGTGTGAACCTCCCCTCCCAGCCCCTCAGGCTGTGGTCCACTGAGGTGGGGGACAAAGGCCTCATGCCTCGTTACCTTGAGGTGGGTGTGGGCAATCTTGAGGTGCTTCTGGGCCTCAGCTGCCACCCGGTTGGCTTGGCTGAGCTGGATCTCCATCTCGTTGAGGTCGCCCTCCATCTTCTTCTTGACCCTCAGCGCCTCGTTGCGGCTGCGGGTCTCGGCGTCGAGGGATGCCTGGAGCGAGTCCACCATCCTCAAGTGGTTGCGCTTGGCCTGCTCCATCTCCTCGTCCTTCTCGGCCAGCTTGCGCTCGATGTCAGCCTTGATCTGGTTGAACTCCAGCTGGGCCCGCAGGATCTTGCCTTCCTCGTGCTCCAGAGAGGCCTGGAAGGTCAGGAAATGATGGTGTAGAGCGAGAGGACAAATGGATGAGGGAAGAAGTGGAAGGAGAATCAGAGGAGACAAGATTGGAAGTTTGATGGTGTCAAGATCCAGCTTCTTCCTCAACTCAAACTCTATCAGATAGGGCAGCTGCTTTCTGGTGGGCCAAGGCTCTATTATGTCAACAGTTACACAGTTGTTTCTATTTTGGGCCTATTCTCCAGAATTGCTCATTATTTTTACGGGAAAGTCCTCAAGACAATGTTGATGTCAAGTCATTGCATTCCAGTGTTTTCGTCTTGGGTTTCCCCCTGACCTGATTTGCGCCAATGAAAAGCAATTGAAATGCCAGCCTGCCCAGTACAGAGGAGCAAAGCAATGTTGAAACCTTTAAGGACTACTGTGCCTTTAATTAAACACTTCCTGTTTGAAAGGTTCTGCTCGTTTTATGGTTTCTTTTGGGATGTGGCTAAAGATAAGTGATGAATTGCTCCTTGTTGGCTTCTGTTCCCTACCCTGGGGTGCTAGTGGGCCTACAAATGCTGTTTATACAGACATAAAGAAAAAAATATCAACACAAGTAAACTGGCAATTATAGTTCTCACACCCCACACGAGGAGCAGAAGTTGCCGAAATAAGGGGCAATTCATCACTTATCCCACAGTCAGGATGTACAGAATGTGGGGGGGGGGGATGGACAGAACCAAAATGGAGGAAGAGTTTAATTAATGTTGCAGGGGATCTTTGTGCTGTGAGAGGTTTTTGTAAACATGATGGATGATCTTGGTTATGCGGTGGGCACTATTAAAATAATATAGCGCTATACTCTTTGTGCAAAACCTCCGTTTCCAGATATTTCCGGGCTGGAGGGAGGGAGGGAGGGAGAGATAAAGGCCCATAGCTCTGAGCAGGAAATGTTAGGAAAAGCTTATTTGGCCCCCAGAGGTCCAGACTTCAAGTGGTGCCTCTTGCCATAAAACAACAATGATAAATTAAATAGCTAGTTGTTTCCTTTCCTTTCATTGTGCCCCAAACTGCCCCCTGTCAGCCTGCCTCATGGCGGAGCAGACCGTTGGGCTAGCAAGAATTTCTTAACTGCCAGGGTTCCTTGTGCGGGGAATCACTGTGGTGATTAAAGTGATTTAAAATAGGGGAGGGGGACGGAAGGGAAGAGGAGGCGCAGAGAAAAGAAGTAGAAGCAGAGATAGGTGGACAAGGAGGGGCAAAGGTTGGTGGTTTAGAGAGAACGGCATCTGGTATCACCTCAGCCTCTTCCAGAGCTGCCTGCAACTCCATCTTCTCGGCCTCCAGCTGCTTCCGGACCTTCTCTAGTTCGTGCATGCTCTTGCCCCCCTCGCCCAACTGCTCAGTAAGGTCGGAAATCTCCTCTGTGGTGAGAGAGGTGGAAGCGGAAGACTTGGCTCAGACCGGAGAGAAGGATAAGCTCAAGTGAGGGATAGGTTGTGAAGCAGCAAGGCTTCGCTGAAGGCCTCGTCCTCACCCTAACTCACCCTGTAAGTTCTTGTTCTCCCTCCTCAAGGTCTCCAGGTGCTCCAGAGACTCCTCGTAGGCGTTCTTCAGCTTGAAGAGCTCGGTGCTGAGTGCCCGGGACTCCTTCTGAGAGGCCTCCAGCTCTGCCTGGGTCTCCTCGTATTTCTGCTTCCACTCCGAGAGGATCTGAGGGGATGGAGGGGAAAGAGGGCAAACAACAACAACAACTCTAACTTGAGCTGGAGGACATGACCCTTGTTTCACTCTGAATTGCGCCCATTTCCCTTTCTCACTCACTTTGTCGAAGTTCCTCTGCTTCTTGTCCAGGGCAGCTGCGGCCGCGTTTGAGCGCTCCACGTCCACCATGAGGTCTTCGATCTCGTTCTGCAGGCGGTGCTTGGTCTTCTCCAGAGAGGAGCACTTGGCGTTCACGGCCTCCACCGCCTCTTCGGCATCCTGGAGGCGCTGTGCCAGCTTCTTCCTGATATGCAAGTTTGTGGGTGGGTGGGGGGAAAGTGAATCTATTATTACCGCAGGAGGGGCTGGCTTGCTTCCTCAGTCTACGGATGAGGGAGAGGAGGAACAGCGGAGAGAAAATGGACCTCCACAATGACCACGCCAGGTCGCTCCAGGAAGTCGTCTCAATGGTCTTACCTCAGGGGTGGGGGACCTTTCTTTTCCCAGTCCAGGGGCCACATTCCCTTGTGGCCAACCTTCTGAGGGCCGAATGCCAATGATTCGGGACAGAGGCAAAAGTAGACGGGCCAATGGCTTCGATACTTACCTTTGTACTGTAGGCTGCACTCCAGCCATACAGAAGTCAGAGGGTTTTATACACACACAGAGAGAGGAGGAACAGAGGTTGCTGGGGGGCACATGAGGGTCCCCCACCCCTGCTCTACCTGGGACAGCAGTCATCATAGGGGGACAGAGTGTGGCTGCACAGGCGAGGCCCACAACTTGTGTGTCGTACCCCCAGCTCTGCTCTGTTGGCCTCGTTGGGCACGGTGAATGTACCCCTCACCCCGGCCACCAACACCACAGCTCCTCCTACCTCAACCTACCTTAGCGCCTTTTTTGTTTGGTTTTGTTTAAGTGGGGGATTTCTCCTCCAACCAACAAGCTTTTTGCTCGTCTTATACGCTGCCATTTTAAAATATAACCCGAGCCAAAAGCTTCGCCGTTAGAGGAACCAAAGAGCGATGTCCGTGGGGCTTTGGGGGGGACGGGCAGGGCTGGAGGGGGGGCAGTGGTAGTGTGCGAGAGAGTCAGGCCCACAGCAGACCCCAAAGGCTGCCGAGGGGGCCCACATCCCCGTCTCGAGTGCCGGCCAAGGGAAGGAGTAGGAAAGAAAACCGGCCGCCTGCTTCAGCAGCTGCCCAAACCCCTGATAGGCCAGAGGAGGCTGTGTGGCTATCAGAGCGGTCAGGCCAGGCCAGGCCTCTTTCTTTGGTTTGAGCCTCTTGCTGCTCAAATGCCTTGGCTTGCCCATCTCCGCCTGGACCCTTGAGCCCAGATGCCATTCCACAAGAGCCAGGCAGGGCTGAGGTAGACATCCATTCCAGACCTTCTCACTTACTTGGCCTCCTCCAGCTCCTCCGTCCTCTGGATGGCATCGGTTTCGTACTTAGTCCTCCACTGCGCCACCTCGGAGTTGGCCTTGGACAACGAGCGCTGGAGCTCCGCTTTGGCCTCTACTTCTTCCTCATACTGCTCCCTCAGAAGGTCGCAGTCATGGCGGGCCGACTGCAGCGCATGCGCCAGAGCATTCTTGGCCTGAGTGAAGGACGGACATGAGAAAATTTGGTTGATCTCTCTCAACCCCTGCTTCATGCCTTCTCCCACTGCAACCTCTGAATCCTGAATCCCCCTGATTCTCATATTCCACTGATTTTCCCTCAGACTCCGATCCCACAGTTCCTGCAATTCTCTCGTCTGCTTTCTCTCAGCGTCCCTCTGCCTCAGACCTACAGTTCTCATGGCTCTTTTACCTTGGCCTCCTCTTCCAGCTGCCTCTTCAAGTCCTCCATTTGCTGGGTGTACGACTGCTTCCCTCGAGTGAGCTGAGAAATGAGTGCCTCCTTCTCTTCGAGTTGGCGGGCGAGTTCTCCTGAGGGGCAGGGAAGACGGCATGTTTGCTTCTGCAAAGCTGATGCACTCCGTCCGGGGCCCAAGACATTTCATGGCCTGAGGAGACGGCCAAGATGGCTGCCCACTCTCCATTCCACATACGGAAACCAAATGGACTGGAGGATGAACACAGGCTGACTCACCTCCATGGCACCTAAAGTCATGGCCAGGTTAGGGGCCCCAAGAAAAAGTGAGGGGCAACAAAGAGGAATGCCCCCAAATATCTAACACCTGAGGTGCTCACTATGCCTAACGGCAGGGCAGCCCTGGATTTTGTTCCCTCTAGGAAAGTAAATAAACGGAAAGCCAGCGGGAAAACAATGTGTGTTATACCATTTTCCGTCTGGAGTTTGGCCCGCTGTGTGTTGGTGTCGTTGAGGGTCCTCTGGGTCTCTTCAAACTTGGCCCGGTAATCTGCGGCCTGGTCCTCCACGGTGCGACACATCTTCTCCAAATTCACCTGCCGGCCGAGAGAGGAAGGGGTGGAAGGGGGGAAAAGTGAGGAAGGTGAGAGAGGACCGAGGAGGACAGCTCCAGAGGCCAGCAAGGCAGCAACATGAGGAAGGTGGGCCAAAACCTTCAAGCAAACAGGCCACATGCTGCCTTTTTAGTCTTAATCAGGCTTAACTGAGCCCCTCAGTTTAAAGGAACATGCTGGATTTGCACACAGTGCTCTGGACAATACGGCGTTTGCTGTGTCACACGGTTGGCTTGAATACGTCATTTGGAGACAGTCCACCAAAGGACATCCCTGTAGGACGCCCCTTGGCTCAGCTTGGTTTCTAGAAGGTGTCAGGATAATACCTTCCCAGCTTCCCCTCCCCAGCTTCCACCTCCAGCTCTCCAGGTACCCCTTTGAGCTAACTTCAGCTGCTCCTCCATCCATACAGCACCTTGGCTTTCAGCAGCTGCTCCATGTTGGAGCCCACGTCGTCCAGCTCCAACTTCAACTCGCTCTTCTCCTTCTCCAGCTTCTGCTTCACGCGTTGCAGGTTGTCGATCTGCTCCCCCAGCTCTGCCGCCGAGTCGGCGTGCTTCTTGCGGAGCGTGGCCGCCGTGGCCTCGTGGTGGAGAGTGGCCTCCTCCAGGTCGCGGCGCATCTTCTGGAATTCCGCCTCCCGCTTCTTGTTCAGCTCCACCTGCACGGTGGTGGCCCCGCCGGCCTCCTCCAGCCGCTCGCTGATCTCCTCCAGCTCCCGCGAGAGGTCGGAGCGCTGCTTCTCCACCTTGGCCCGGGATGCTCGCTCCGCCTCCAGCTCCTCTTCCAGCTCCTCGATCCGCGCCTGGACCACAGAAAAAAAGAAGATGGGTCCCTCAATCCATCCAGCATATTGTCTCAAGGGCAAGAACCTTTGGGTGGCATGTGGCTTGTCCCAGGGCCAAACTCACAGGGGGTTGGTTCTAGGTCAGAAGGTGGTTCTAGAACATAAAGCCAAGAGCTGGGGAAAGAGGGAAAGTCCATCCCTGGGCATTTCTAGAGCAGAGAGACACCTGAAAGCTGAAGGCCTAAGCAGGGCACCCACCTGCAGTTCCTTCAACTTCTTCTGCAGCTGTGAAGCCAGGGCCTGTTCATCTTCAATCTTGCTGTTCTGCTGGTTGATGTCAAACTCCTTCCTGAAAAAGGCATTTGGGGACGTAAACACCACCATCCTCCCATTCCCTCCCCCCACCCCATTCATACGTTTGATAATCCTCTAGAATACAAATAATCCTCTAGAATAAAATAGCTTACTAGGGAAATGCTGAAGTTGCCCTTCAGCTAGAGCAGCTGGAGGCAGCAAAAGAGGGAGATCCCCGGCTATGCCTGCGTTAAATAGGGCAGGCCACGCCCCCCAAGCCAGCCGATTGGCTGTCCAGGGGATGACGCAGCCGGGGATTCCCGCAATTGCGCGTGCGTGGTGGGGGGCGTGAAGCCCGCAACACCACCTCCTTTTGAAGGCGGAAGTGGCTATATCTCAATTTTAACTCATGAGCTATTGCTGCAATCTGCTCTGATTTTATATTTTAGCTTTATGAACACTGTTTTTATTGTGTTATGTTATGTGAGCTGGTCTTTGACTGTAATAAATTATCTATCTCTCTCCCCCCACCCCCCGTTCTGCATGATTTTCGCCTGACCACTGCATCATTCCCTGAGCCACCACCAGAATGAGGCCCTTTGGTCTAGACCAGGGCTCTTCAACCTTGGGTCTCCAGGCATGTTGCAATAGTGTCAACAACACCCTCCTTAATCCCTGGCGGGCAGAACTGGACACAGCTCACATGCGTTTGTTTTAGATATTTTTAAGGATATAAAGAAGAGCCTGCTGGATCAGGCCACTGGTCCACCTAGTCCAGCATCCTGTTCTTGCAGTGACCAGCTAGATGCCCCAGTGGGAAGCCAACAAGCACAACCTGAGCACAACAGCCCTCTCCTCTCCTCTCCTCTCCTCTCCAGCAAATGGTATTTGGAAATATTACTGAGGTCCAGCTCCGAGGGCCTTCTGGCAGTTCCCTCACTGAGAGAAGTGAAGCTACAGGGAACCAGGCAGAGGGCCCTCTCGGTGGTGGCGCCCGCCCTGTGGAACGCCCTCAAAGAAAGTGACGCCCGTCCCGTGAAATGCCCTCAAGGATGTCAAGGAAATAAGCAACTACCTGACTTTTAGAAGACATCTGAAGGCAGCCCTGTTTAGGGAAGTTTTCAATGTTTGATATTTTATTGTGTTTTTAATATTCTGTTGGGAGCCGCCCAGAGTGGCTGGGGAAACCCAGCCAGATGGGCAGGGCATAAATACTAAATTATTATTATTATTACTGCCTCCAGCTATGAAGGCACAGCCATCAGGGCTACTAGCCATCCATAGCCGCCTCCTCCACAAATATGCTACCCGATAATAAACAGTGAAAACAGTGAAAAGCGTTTGGTAATGGCAGGCAGAGAGGGGTGGCCTCTCTCTCTCGCTCCTCTTTCCCGAGGCTCCTACAAAGCGTGCTAAGATGAGGCACGTCCCCTACTTTTTCAGTTTATCCTCCAGCTGTTGCTTGTCGTTCTCCAGGTCCATGATGTTCTCCTGGGTCAGCTTCAAGTCCCCTTCCAGCTTCCTCTTGGCCCGTTCCAGGTCCATACGGATCTTCCTCTCCTGTTCCAGGGAGCCTTCCAGCTGGTTGGAAAGAGGCAGACAAGAAAAAGAATAAACGGGTGTTACTCACAGGTGGTTTCTTGTGCTTTGGACTGCAGAATTCATTTGGGGCTGTCCACTAGATGGGATGCGGGTGGCGCTGTGGGTTAAACCACAGAGCCTAGGGCTTGCCGATCAGAAGGTCGGCGGTTCGAATCCCCGCGACGGGGTGAGCTCCCATTGCTCGGTCCCTGCTCCTGCCAGCCTAGCAGTTCGAAAGCATGAAGTGCAAGTAGATAAATAGGTACCGCTCCGGCGGGAAGGTAAAGGAATTTCCGTGCGCTGCTCTGGTTCGCCAGAAGCGGCTTAGTCATGCTGGCCACATGACCCGGAAGCTGCTTGCAGGCTCCCTCGGCCAGTAAAGCGAGATGAGCGCCGCAACCCCAGAGTCGGCCACGACTGGACCTAATGGTCAGGGGTCCCTTTACCTTTTTTTATCTGCAAAGGAAGGGGCGTGGGTGGCGCTGTGGGTTAAACCACAGAGCCTAGGACGTGCCGATCAGAAGGTCGGCGGTTCAAATCCCCGCAACAGGGTGAGCTCCCATTGCTCGGTCCCTGCTCCTGCCAACCTAACAGTTCAAAAGCATGAAGTGCAAGTAGATAAACAGGTACCGCTCCGGCGGGAAGGTAAAGGCATTTCCGTGCGCTGCTCTGGTTCGCCAGTCATGCTGGCCACATGACCCGGAAGCTGTACGCCAGCTCCCTCGGCCAATAAAGCGAGATAAGTGCCGCAACCCCAGAGTCGTCTGCAACTGGACCTAATGGTCAGGGGTCCCTTTACCTTTTACTAGATCAGAGGGTTGGCTAACCTTTTTTGGGGAGGTGGGACACATTTGCCTGGATGGAGTATGGAAAGAGGGAGCCTTCCTGGATCAGGACCACAGCCCACTTAGTCCAGCGCCCCAGTCTCTCAATAGCCCAACAGACACCCTGCTGGCTAGCAGGGCCAGAGCACAAGAGCCCTTGCTTCTCCTGTGGTTTCCAGCAACTAGCATTCAGAAGCTCTGTTGCCTTCCAGTCGTGGAGGCAGAGTGGAAGCACACCTATTAACCCACCCAATTTGACCTCTGTCCCCATCCACTACTGGCACACGGCCTTGGGAAAGTTGTCAACATGGCCCACAGGACATAAATTGTCCCCTACCCCGGGTCCCAACTGAAAAAGAATGGCAACTTAAGCTGACAGAATCTGCGCAGCTTGCCCACCTAACATACAGAATAAGAGAACGAGAAGAACATACGCTTGAAGAAGATTGGATAATGTTTACTGGAAAAAATGGTGGTCATTGTGTACACTTGAAAACACTGGCAACGTTAAGATAAATACAAGAGCATAAATTAAGTTTTGATGGATGTCATAATAGAACACTGAATGGTTTAGTTTATATAAAATACGCAGGGATTTATGTTTTGCAAAATGAACCACGGAAAGAGAAGAAGGGACGGTTTTGATATTTTAAGGTTGTTTAAATGAATATTCTAAATTGTAAAACAGGAAATGTAATAAAAATTATATTGAAAAAAAATTAATAAAACGTCCCCCACCCCTGTGGCAGAGAAACTGCGATAGCTAAAGGTGGGGAAAGCCCCTCTCTCCCACCAAGAAGATCTGCCAGAGCAAGAGATCTCCCATCAGCCTCAGCAGCCAGTGCAGCCAATGGTCAGGGCTGATGGGAGTTGGAGTCCACCAGCACTTGGAAGGCTCCAGCTCTGAGAACAGCTTCTTATGTGCTCATATTCATGAGACTCTCCAGTCTCTGCTGTTGACTTACATCGTCCGCCTGCTGCTCCAGCTTCAGCTTGGCTTTGGTGAGCGTGTTGACTTTGTCTTCTTCGACCTGCAGGTCATCCAGAGCTTGCTGGTGGGCCTCTTGCAAGGATTTCTTCTCCTTGGTCAGCTTGGCGATGATCTCATCCAGACCGGCCATCTCCTCCGTGAGATTTTTCACCTGGTGGGAAGGCCAAACCCCAGAGATGTAAGGAGTTGTGGGGAAGGGACAACTTTGAATCTACATATGGGGGTCCCAGGAGCATGTGGGGAGAAGCTCTTAGCTGGAGGGCAGCCCACTGCACTGCCGTCAGCACTCAGCCTACTCTGTGGCGACAGGTGGGACAGAAAGCAAGTCTTAGCCTGCCGGTAGAATATGTTGCGGAGGCTTTATCCTGCTGGTGGAAGGATAACAAAAGAGGGAGCCAGTCTGACCTAACTTATTAATAATAATAATAATAATAATAATAATAATAATAATAATTTATTATTTATATCCCACCCATCTGGCTGAGTTTCCCCAGCCACTCTGGGCGGCTCCAAATCAAGTGTTAAAAACAGTACAGCATTAAATATTAAAAACTTCCCTATACAGGGCTGCCTTCAGATGTCTCTTAAAGATAAGATAGCTGCTTATTTTGTTCACATCTGAAGGGAGGGCGTTCCACAGGGAGGGCGCCACTACCGAGAAGGCCCTCTGTCTGGTTCCCTGTAACCTCACTTCTCGCAATGAGGGAACCGCCAGAAGGCCCTCGGCACTGGACCTCAGCGTCCGGGCTGAACGATGGGGGTGGAGACGCTCCTTCAGGTATATTGGGCCGAAGCCATTTAGGGCTTTAAAGGTCAGCACCAACACTTTGAATTGTGCTCGGAAACCTACTGGGAGCCAATGCAGATCTCTCAGGACCGGTGTTATGTGGTCTCTGCGGCCACTCCCAGTCACCAGTCTGGCGGCTGCATTCTGGATTAATTGCAGTTTCCGGGTCACCTTCAAAGGTAGCCCCACGTAGAGCGCATTGCAGTAGTCCCTCTTGGGAGGGGATTCCACAATATGGGAGTGTGTTGAACCAAAGGCGAACCGTTCCGGAAGCATCTTGGTAGTCAAGAAAACCCTACAATTAATTGGTAGTGGTTGCAGCAATGGGCTCACATATGTTTATATTCATACACTAATTGGCCTGCTTTGATGCAATCCTTATCTGCGGAACTCGGGGCTGGGCTCTGAGCCAAGAAAGGAGAACTATCTGTAAGGTTTTGTCAGGGACTGGCCAGAGGTGGAATAGGGGAGACTGCCTCTCCATCCTGACCCTTCCAAGGAGGAGGAAGAGGAGGACAGTGTAGGTTTACAACAGGGGTTTGAGGGAGGTCACAGCTCAGAGGCAGATGAGGGGGAAAGCTGGAAAATAATGGGAGAGGGGGAGGCAGAACTGGAGAGGCAGCTGGCTGACACAGTGTCATTAGAAAGCATCCAGACCCTCCATCTCCCAGAACCCGGTGAGCCTTAGAAGTAGGAGAGCAAAGAGCTTGAAGGCAGAGGGCACGTAGCAGCACCCGTAGAAGACGAATGAGGAAGCGGGAGAGACGGAGGGTGGAGATTCACTCAGGACAGCACCATTATCCAAGAGGCTGGGTTCTATAGCCTCTCTGTAAATACTGAAATGAAAAAGGATGGTAAGAAACTTTTCCTTGTCTTTATACTTTCCTGGGCAACAAGCCGGGAGCTGCTGAAAGCATCCTGACAGGTTTGGGGTATTTGCCACCTATGACCTCATCTAGTCGGGTGAAATGCTGCTCTGCTGTATTGAGAAGGTTTGTTTGGGTGCAGGCAAAGCCATCTCCTTGCTGCGGTGTCTGCAAAGGTTAGGAGAAACGGCAGGCTGCTTTGCCTAAGTTGACACCTTCTCTGGAACTGGCCATTCCGATGTTTTTGACATCCTTCTTTGGTCTCCCTGCACCCAACCACTCCCACAAGTCCTCCTTTGGACCTGCAGTTCAGAACAGGGAGCCACCACCGAAAAGGCCCTCTCTTGTGTCCCCACCAGCTGTGCCACTAATGTCAAAGGGGCTGGGAACAGGTGCTCACCTAAGGACCTTATCACCTTGGCAGGTTCACATAGGGAACTTGCCTCGCTGCCGCTCTAAGCGCACCTTGTTCTCCGTGGCGTGCTTCTCCTTCTCCACTTTGGCCAGGGTCAGCTCCAGGTCGTCAATGTCCTTCTTGAGCTCCGAACACTCGTCCTCCAGCTTCCGCTTCTTGGCCGTCAGCTCGGCGTTCATCTCCTCCTCGTCCTCCATCCTTTCAGTCAGCTCCTTCACCTTGGCCTCCAGCTGAATCTTGTTCTTGATCAGCTGGTCGCACCGTTCCTCGGCATCGTTCAGATTATCTTGTTCCTGCGAGAGGAGAGGAGGGAAAAGGGTTTTAGGAAAAATGAGCCATCTGTTCAGGCATTTGAGGAGGACGGAGTAAACGGGAACAAGGAGGTGCTGCAAAGAGATGAGACGTGAAAGGTCAAAAGTGCTTTTATTGTGATTTTATGTTGTGAACCACCCTGAGATCTATGGGTAGAGGGTGGTATACAAATTTAATAAAAATAAAACAAATACCTTAGGACTTTTTGATAATGTAAAGGCTGTTCTGTACCTTCCTGTCTTCTTAAGAGATAGCAACAGTGCACGTTGACCTTTGCTTCATATCTGCCCAGTATCCTGAACTGTTTTGTCAATTCCATATGCGCCCATTTCACAGAAACATAGGGAGCTGTCTTATACTGCGTCAGATTATTGGCTCATATAACTCAGTAATTTCCACCCTGACTGGCAGTGGCTATCCAGGGTTTCAGACAGGGGGAAATTTCTAGCCCTACCTGGAGATGCTGGAATTGAACTTGATATTTTCTGCTTGCTAAGCAAATGCTCTAACCGCTGAGCTACAACCCTTTCCTCAAACAGCTTGTTTCTATAGAGGCCAATGCAATTAGGTGGGAAGGATGCATGTCGTCCACACTGTCCACCCCCAGGTGGCGCTGTGGTCTAAACCACTGAGCCTCTTGGGCATGGGTAGGCAAACTAAGGCCCAGGGGCCGGATATGGCACAATCGCCTTCTAAATCCGGCCCGCAGACGGTCCAAGAAACAGTGTGTTTTTTACAGGAGTAGAGTGTGTGCTTTTTATTTAAAATGCATCTCTGGGTTATTTGTGGGGCATAGGAATTCGTTCATATTTTTTTTTCAAAATATAGTCTGGCCCCCCCCACCAGGTCTGAGGGACAGTGGACCGGCCCCCTGCTGAAAAAGTTTGCTGACCACTGCTCTTGCGCTTGCTGATCAGAGGGTCAGCGGTTCGAATCCCCACAACGGGGTGAGCTCCCATTTGCAGCTCCTGCCAATCTAGCAGTTCGAAAGCACGCCAGTGCAAGTAGATAATAGTTACTGCTGTGGCGGGAAGTTAAACGACATTTCCGTGCACTCTGGTTTCCGTCACGGTGTCCCGTTGCGCCAGAAGCGGTTTAGTCCTGCTGGCCACACAACCCGGAAAGCTGTCTGTGGACAAACGCTGGCTCCCTTGGCCTGAAGAGAGATGAGTGCCACAGCCCCATAGTCGCCTTTGACTGGACTTAACCGTCCAGGGGTCCTTTGCCTTTTACCTTGTTACCATCTTACCAGGAAGGTAAAAATAGAGGTTGTTAATTACAGAGTCAAGTATTGCTGCCAAATGGGATCTTTTGGTGTCAGTAGCTCGGTGGCAGAGCTGATGGTTTGCATTCAGAAGATCCCAGATTCAGACCCTGGCATCTCCAGGTTACGACAGGGAAGGAACCCCCATCTGAATCCTGCAGAGCTGCTGGCAGCCAGGGCAGTGGTAAGAAATCTGCAGGGCCCATCAGTGGGGCTAGATCACAGCTTCTTGCCAACTTTGGGTGTGATTCAGTCATATACCGGTCAATTCAGGTTTCGCCATTAAAGTTGATTCGTCGCGTAACAAGAGCGATTAAGAGAGAGATGAAGAAACAGATTTCAAAATGTGAGCTGATGCCTTACTCAATGCAGCAGCACCGACTCTCTCTGCAAGCAAACCAGAATCAACGCACAAACAGATCACCAACGTCGTCTAACCTCCCCACAAACCTTATGCAAACAAATCTGGAAATATGCTCAATGAGCAGGTCACATGGAAGCAACCAAGGACTCTCTCTCTCTCTCCAGGACCTTGCGGTTTGTCCCGGTGGCTTTATAAAGTCACTCACAGCTTGAACTTGCAGTTGGAGATCATTCTTCTCCTGCAACAGGGAGACCATCTTTTCCTCTAGCTCTTTCCTCCGAGTCTCCGATTTCTCCAGGGCTTCCTTCAGCCGCCCAAATTCTTCCTTCATTGTCTGTGGAGAAGAAAACAAGACTGATGGACTCAACCGGCCAGCCAGCGGTAGCTGCTTAAAAGGAAAAGCAAATGGCAGCTTTATATATTGGGAAGGGCTATTTCAAAGCTGGTAGAGCAAAGCTGCTTCGAGACCTTTTTCAACTTCTGATTGAAGGTGTGAGGTTGGGTGCTTGAACGGTTTCGCAACCGGAAAATAACGGCCCTTGTTTGTAGAAGACTAGCATGCAAAGGGTTCAACTTGGCCTTCACTGTTTGTGTATTTATTTCATAAAAAAATATATTCCACTTGATTGTAAAATAAAACCCCAGTGACCTCGGAGCAGCTTACAAACAGGATTTAAAAAATGAAACTATCAGCAAATAGTTTTAAAATAAATTGAAAACCTTCCAAAAAAGTTATTAAAACCGATCAGCTAAAACTTACAATTAAAGCGTCAACACCCTACACATCCGGATAGGTTTGCCTAAACCAAAATATTTCCAGGAGGCACTGGAAGGAGTAACAGCAAAGGCCAGATGTCAGTTTCTTACAAATGTGGAATGAGCACCGTGTCAAACATGTAACAGGGCCAATTCTGCATTAATTACACTGTTGTGCAAGGTGTTCATATATTTGTGGAGTGCATAAACTGCCTGCTATGAACCCCTGTGAGCAAATCAGGGATAGCCTGGGGCACTCGATGACCTTCCAGATGTTTTTGGATGGACTCAGTGTGGCAGCCCTTGATTTTTTGTTTGTTTGTTTAACCCTTAGCAGTTCTGGATAAATTTCAGCCGTAATCCAAGAAGCATTACCTGCATCTCCTT